GGTGCTCGACCATGCCGACAACCGCGCTGTCACAACCGTGGAAGCATCTTTCTACGAGACGATGTCTCTGGAGGAGTGAAAGGTGGAGAATAGGCCAGCGTCGAAGCGGACAAAGGTTTCTCTGCTGACGGGTCCCTCGCAGGCGGCGATTCAGCTGCTCGAAGCCGAGGACGATGGTCCGTCTGCCGATCCCTCTCCCACCATTCCGCCCTCGTCGAAACCTCCTCCTCCTCTTCCCACCTCCCTCCCATCGTTCGCCCCCGGCCTGCCTAAGTCGGTATCGACGTCGGTCGCCAGCGACGAGGGGAGCATTGGTGCGTCGCCTTCGGCTCCGCCTATCGGCATCGCTGGCGGTCGACGAAATCAGGTCAGTGAGCAAGTTAGCGTCGGAGTGAAGTCTCCGCTGACAGGGGAGCCGTCGAACAGGAAGCGCATTTCAGAGGAGCCGTCAACAGGGGAGTCGTCGAATGGAGAGCGCGTTTCAAAGGAGCCGTCGACAGGGGAGCCGTCAAACGAGGAACTCGCTTCAGCGGAGCTGTCAACAGAGGAGCCGTCGAACGAGGAGCTCGCTTCAGAGGAGCCGTCAGCAGAGGAGCCGTCGAACGAGGAGCTCGCTTCAAAGGAGCGGAAGAAAGGGGAGAATTTTGACCGTGGCACATCGAGCAACGTTGTTGAAATTATTGGTAGCGATGAAGAGGAGCTGTCGACCGGGAAGCAGACCAGCGATTGCAATGTGGTGGAAGTCTCTACCGACAAGCTCGCAGTTCGACGTTCCACCCGCTCCAACTTTGGCAAGCCTCGCAAGAAGCTGAGCTACCATGCTTGCCAGTCGCCGACCTCATACATCACTTTGCTTGACGATGCACGGTTCGACATCGACGTGCCCGAGCTCGACCCCGATACGCACACTGACCTGGAGCATGACGGTGAAGGAGGCGTTGGCGAGCTGGAAGGGGAAGGCGGTGAAGGCCGCCATAGATGAGGAGATCCGAAGTCTCATCTCCAAGGGCACATGGGAGCTTGTGGAGCACCCACGTGGCGTCAATGTCATGAAGAACCGCTGGGTTCTAATGACGAAGTACCATGTCGACGACACGGTCGCCCGCGAAAAAGCGCGCCTAGTGGTGAAGGGCTTCACGCAGGTTTACGGAGCCGATTACGACGAGACGTATGCATCGGTCGAGAGCTACGTCACTCTGCGGATTTTCCTTAGCATCGTCGCCGTCCTCGACCTGCACCTCATGCAGCTGGACGCTGTGCCGACGAGCGCCGGTTGGATCAAGAGCCAGGTCGACGAGGCTCTCTATTTCAGAGTTGGGGACGACGTAGTGGCTTGCTGGGTGCTCGTTTACGTCGACGATCTGCTCGCCGCCAGCAGCAGCACCGCAATGCTGAAGGAGCTGAAGGAGCTGCCGGAGGTCGCCTTTGAGCTGCACGAGATTAGCCCGGTCGAGAAGTATTTGGGGCTCGAAATCGTGCGCGACCGTTCGGATCGGAAGCTGTGGCTGCACCATCTGTCATACGTCGACAAGCTTCATAGGCGCTTCATCGACGAGGAGCAGAATGGTCGGCGTCCGAAGACGCCTGTTTCCGTCGACGCTTATTTGAAGCTGACTTTTAACAATTAGGAATTCCAGTCGCGCGAAGAAGAGGATTACCGTCAGAAGGTTGGTTTGCCACCATGACAACTCGGCCCGACATTGCTTTTGCGTGCAGCAAGCTGGGGTCTGGTTTGATGGTGAGGGGTGTCCAGCAATGGCGCAAGGTCGTTTGCTGCCTCACCTATCTCGCCGACACGCGCGATGCTGCTCTGGAGTTTGGCGGCGGGCCGGAAACTCTAAAACTGGTCGGCTACGCGGGCGCGGACGACGCTGGTGACAAGCAGACGCGCAGTAGCAGGAATGGCTACGTTTTCACCTTTGGCGGCGCAGCTGTCTCCCGGATGAGCCAACGCATCAAGTGCGTAACTCTGTCTTAGACGCAGTCAGAGTACATCGCAGCCACTGAAGCTGGCAAGGAGGCTCGTTGACTTCAATTCCTCCTTGCCGAGTTCCAGCTCCTCGATGCTGGGACGCCAACTGCTCTGAACGTGGACAATCAGTCCGCCCTTGCAGTCTCTGAGGGCTTGGGGCTGAAGGGAAAATTCAAGCACATGGAGCGACGCTACGCCTGGCTGCAGCACATGGTGAAGCGCAAGAAGATTGCGTGGAATACATCCTGACATCTGAGCAGTCGGCGGAATTCGCTACTAGGGCACTGCATTTTCCGGCCTTCAATCAGCGCTCTGCCGCGGTTGGCTAAGTTCGCCTTGCCGACGTCGGCGATGAAGACGACGTGCAGCAGTAGGCGCCACGTCATCTAACATGGCTGGTGTGGTGATCGGCGTACGGGGGTGTGCACGCCAGAGAAATATCCCCTTGTATTTTATTACTTAGGTTCTGGGTGAACCTTGTGTGTGGGGGCCCAAGTTTGAGCTGGGCAGGGGAGTGTCGAAGTGAAAGGCCCCGCCCTCGCTTGGGCACTGGCATTCTCTGCGACGACGTGGTGAATTTGACGAAGTGATCGTCGCATTGGATCAGCCCGTCCTCTGAAACCGGGTGGTTTTAGAGGACGGTTTCCTCTAATTCACCAGCCCAACGACAAGTCATGTTCGACGGGGTGCTGTTCGACGAGCTCGTCCTCCGATCTGTTAGTGAGTCGCGCGATCTCCGACGGACGGGGTGCTTTCCAAGGAGCATCGTTCTCTGATCAAAGGGCGCTGTTCGGCGAGCCTCGCCTCGGCGAACTGGTCGGCTGGATACCCGTGACTAGGAAACTCTGCGAAGGCATGCAAAATTCGCTCAGGCGGTTCTAAGCAATATTTGACCTGCGTAACGGCATCAGGTGGTTGACGGTGCACATCTGGCAAAACCGTCGGAACGTACCTAGCACCTACCTGCACCTACTCGGCAAGTGCACACCTGCGCAAAAATTCACCCTCGAATGCAATGCTGGCAGACTGCCCTGCTGCAGCGCTGGCATATCGCCCTTCTGCTACGCTGGCAGGCCGCCTTGCAGAATGTTTGCTAGGGGTTCCAATCCCATTCTAGTCATATCGACTTGCATGCCTCATTACTGTACTCTAATTTTCAATTCTCAATGTTTCTTTCAATTTCTTAGTGAAATCTCTTGCCAATATTTTCTGTGAAAACAACAAGTAGTAAGAACTCTGCTAGAGCGCTACGATCACCCGCACTACCACGTGCCCTCCTCCGTAGTCCACTCCCGTTGTAGGGTGAGTCTCCGCACGTCCCACTCCTCTTGTAGGGAAGGGTCGCTTGGCCTCCTCTTCTCCGTGCCCATCATCAGCTTCAATAATCCGACTTGCCGAAAGTAGAGTTGCATCTTCCACGCACAATCGTCGTAGTTGCTACCGTTGAACTTGTCGACGACAAAGTTCTTGAGCACATCCTTCAACAGTGAACCACCAACATGTTGGACTCCACCATTAGGTCGTGCAACAGATCCTTTGTTTGTGAGTGGTACACGTCGAGACCAGACCGCGCATCATGTTGAGGCACGCGGTAAATAGGAGTAGGGGCAAACTCTCACGGTGCATGCATACCGTGAATCGCGTCGCGGCGCCAATACTTCACGACTCCCTCAATGCAGCACGCAACACACCAGCACCCCAAATCCTTATTGCCGAACCGGCCAGCGCTCCCGTGCAAAACCTGCACGCGCTCAACCCCACATGGAGCACGCCATACGCGCAGCCTGTGGTCTTTGGGTCGCGGATGCCCGCGTTCCATCCACAGCAACTGGTCAACGGTATCCACCTAGCTCCGCGGTCACAGATACCGTTTGCGTCAGCAACTTACGCGGTTCATACCGTACACGATGATTCGAACGCGCACGGAGTATCCACGCCTCATCCCGGGCCACTGATAGACGGACAACAGACCGCGTCCGCGTCCAGGCCCACAAGCCAGCTGTTCGGGATGCCAGTGCGTGGCTTCGTAGGGCCGCAATACTCGAATATGGGATTTAGGTACGGGTACATCGGCGTGCAACCAGACCCCATGGTCCATGCACCCGCAACTGTCGCGACGCCTCCAATCGCGCCGTCAACCCCATTCCCCAACGCGATTCATCCGGAAATCCAACCAACGGTGCAAGCCCCGGCAGCCACTAGCGAACCATTAGTGGTCGGTTTGCACACATAGGTGCGAACAGATGGCCCATCTTCGATCGCGGGGATGAATGCAAGCGCGCGTGCACCTTCGCCGCCAATATGGAACGTTAACTCACTTTTGCCAGGAAACCCGGACGTCCACATCCGCACGCCCGCGCAACCGACTGCAGAGACCGCGACCGATAGAGGTGGGCAACCACAGGATACTTCGGGGAACGCGGGACACGGGGCGGATGCAAGAGGGAACGCGGAACGAGGGACTGGTGCGAGAGGGAACGCGGGAAGATGGACTTGGGTGAGAGGGAACGTGGGAAGAGGGACTGGTGCGAGAGGGAACGCGGGAAGAGGGACTGGTGCGAGAGGGAACGCGAGAAGAGGGACTGGTGCAAGATGTAACATGGCTACAGGGACCGGTGCGAGAGGAAACGCGGGTAGAGGGAGAGGTGCGAGAGGAAGGGGTGGGAGAGCAAGCGCGGGACGGGGGACCGGTGTGAGGGGGAACGGCGTTAACGCGAACAGGAACGCGCCCGTAAATAGACCGCGTATAAGGAGGCGTCGAGTGAATGTCGTGACGGTCACAGCACGCAACGGACCCGGGGAAGGGAGCGAGGGGACAAGCGATGAGGATGACGAGGATGACGCTGACGATGCGGATGATAGTTGGAACGATGATGACGAGAACTACCCATCTAACTCGTTGTCCGCGGTCAATGAGGATGAGGCGGAAGACAATGAACGGGTGCGGGGAACACGTAGGGACAGCGAGGTCCCTATCGCGGATTGGAACAGGCTTGGTGTGGACGACACGCCCGCCGCGAAAAGAGAGATGTGCATGGGAATCCTCTACGGTCTCTCTGAGGCCACGCTGAAAAAGTATCGCGGTTGGGCCAACGAGTACAAACGGTTCATGGCGCACGAGTTGCCGAAACTGGACGAGGGAAGGTTCGGGGAGGAGGCCACGTTGAGAAACGCGAACCCCGACAAGATCGGAGCCGCGCTCGAACAGAACATGGGCGGTAGTTGGAAGATGGCGACAGGAGACGAGCAGTGGTTCCACGGCCCAGAGACGAATCCGTGGCGCTTACGCAAATACGTGACCTACCTCGCGAACGAGACGGTCGCACAGGCGGACAGGATGGAAACACTGAAGCGGCCCGACAAGACCTTGAAGAAGAGACGCCAGTGCACCCCTGCATTGCTGATGGGGCGTCTCAAGGCTCTGAACCTGCTCATCAAGCTGGACGGGGCCATTTTTCGGAAACTCGTCTTGAACCTGCTGCGCGACTTTGCGGAGTGTCGCATCTGGGTCCGCGTTCAAGTACGAGATCAATACCAGCGGTTTATCGCGTGAGCATCTGTACTCAGGTATCGCGTTGAATGTCACATGATACCGCGTCCACTAACATTGGCCCTCTTGTCCAACTGGTTGCACAGGGAACACATGGATCGCCATCGGGGCACGGCCGCGGACACGTACACCCCTGACCAGTTTAAGCACATGATGCAGAAGTCCAGCATGGCCGCCATCTTGAGCAGCTTCACACTAGCCAAGAAAGCCTATACGCAGGCACTACATCGCGACCTCTGCATCCGTACGATGACCGTGCTCGGTCATCACACTCTAGCCCGCGGGTGCACGATCAGAAACCTGCAGCTTCCAGACATGACGATGTGGAAGCTCGGCGCAAAATCTGAGACTGATCCAGTGAGGAACGCGTTCATGTTTGTCTGCGCGTGCAGGACGGGCAAGATGAACAGGGACTTCTCCCTCAACTACATCTCTGCAGTGAGGCACATAGACTGGACGCTGTGCGCGGTCGAAGCTACGCTGCTGTGGCTGCACTGGGTGTACGACTTGGTTCCTTTGCTCTACGAGGACATAGCACCTCCTCTGGACTTCACTGAACCCTCGACTTGGTACGACCAGTACCTCTTCTTCCCAATTCGCGCGGGTAACGAGAAGAAAATTCCTCCCACGGCCCATCACGACTGGGCGGCGAAGATTCTGACGGACGCGGGCATCACATGCTCGCGTGTGGTTCACGCGACCAGGGCTGGTGGGTCGCAGCACGCATCCGCGGACGGAATGCCATCGGATCAGCTGGCGAGGCTGGGGGGGTGGCGTTTCATCGACGTGATGACTAAACACTATCTCACGACTATTCCGAGGGAGGCCGTGCTCCTGAAGGCTGGCTTCACAGGGATTGATGGTGACTACTTCCTGGGTCGCGTGACAGTTCTGGTGAGCAAGGAGCTGGATAAGCTACTGAGGAAGCACATTTTCCCATGGGCCGCCCCGTACAAAGGACAGAAACAGGCACGTATGCGCCGCGCACAGTAGTGTAAAACGACCGCGAGCATTTTAACTAATCATCTTCCACCGCGTTCATGATCGCGTTGTTGCGTGTCACAGTGCATGGATTACAAACTGAAGATGGTGAGCGACGACAAGGCGGAGAAGCAGGACACCGCGGGAATAAACATACTGCGGGAGCTGGACGGCGAGGCTAGGATGGCAGTCGCGCAAGACCTGGCCATGTATTACATTCACCAGCCGCGACACCCGTACGTGGTCAACAACCCGCTCTGCCAGACGGAGGAATTTGCGTCGTGGGCTGTTGATGTCTCCTTGCCTAATCAACTGGCCATAGTACAGCGTAACACACCTACATTGACCCAGGGCGCGGTGAGTACTGCATGGTCGCGTTATTTATTCGGCTGTATTGTCAATGCCCAACCATCACATGTTCGCGGTCGCGTTCTGTCCATGCAGGAGGTCAGTACCAGAATGGACGCGCAGCACCAGGTGACCACTCTAACGGAGTACCTGACTCGTTCACAAGCAGACAACACCAGGCTGGGCCTAGAGTTGGTCGCGACTCAGAAACGGGTGACAGAGCTAGAGGGTCAATTGGAGGATCGCGACCGAAAGCTGGCCGCGAAAGACGAGCGCGTGAATGATTTGGAGGCCCAGCTGTCGCGGCTCACCGTGAGCAGCTCAGGGCCGACCGCGGTTCCGAACCCGGCAAACACTTCTGGAGCCGCGGCCGCGGCTACCAATGCCATAACTCCCACCGACCAGGGGACGCGGAAGAAACCCGCACCGCCCACCAGGGAACAGACAATTCTGGACGCGATCGTCCTTCCATGGGTCAACGCGACCAAACCGACAGACGGATGGAAGCTGTACAAGACCACGCACCCGCTGATCCTCAAGAGTCCAGAGTCGCTTCTGGCCCAGCCTCGCGGTGCAGTTACGCGAATGGCCGAGATGATAGGCAAGGAGGGAGGTGGACCGAACGCGATAAACCGTTCCAAGCGAGTCATGGACTTCATCGCTCTTAGGGTGGAGCAGGGAGACAACATCGCGGTAGTGCTTGACAAGCTCGACCTCGTGTCAGCAGCTGTGGGCATGTCGGGTGTATCAGAAGGGATCGCGGTAAAGAAGAAGAGTGTTGACTTGGAACTGAGCCAGCTCAAGAAGGGTTCTCCAGTGGAGGTGCAGTTGCGTGTGAAATGGATGCTTGTTCGCGACCGTCTCATCGATGCCTCTCTTCCCGCTTCTGAGTTCACCGTTGCGTGGCCACAGTAATGTGCACTGATGCCCCAACTAGATTAAATCGTGTGGTAGATATAGATCGCAATACTTGATTGGCATAACCCTAAACTTGATAATCTCTGACTTTCATATCGCGTTACACTAGTATGACACATACTGGTATCGTGTGTTTGGGGCTGCTGCTCGCGTTGAACACAACCCGTTGGGGCCAAAGAACCAGCACCCGCAATGTATGGAAACGGGAAGTAATTCCACGGAACGCGTTACACTAGTATGACACCTACTGGTATCGTGTGTTTGGGGCTGCTGCTCGCGTTGAACACAACCCACTGGGGGCAAAGAACCAGCACCCGCAATGTATGGAAACGGGAAGTAATTCCACGCGATATTTAACATTCAAACGGTCGCGCTTGTTTAGTGGGTGCCCAGTCCGCGTTAGACATTTTTCATGTATTGTTCCAAAAATCATCAATCTATTCTAACTCTTAACACATCCACACACGATATCCTACATGCACACAGGTCTGCAAGCCCTGCATAATCCACCGCGAGTAGAACTCAAGCAGGGTGGACAAGCAACGCTCATGCTACGCGATACTACACGCACTCAAGTCCGCTTCTTCGCGGACAGACGATCCTTGGGCAGGGCAAGGTACAGACCCAAGGACTCTATGACCTTCCCTGCCACCAAGCAGTCGCACCACGTGATGATAACGTCCACCGTTTCGCGGGCGGCCAACTCAATGCGCCTGAGATCGCGAGACTTGGCGACGACTTTGTTCACTACTCCAGACACGATCGCACCCGCGACCACCTTCGGTTCCGCGACAACCTGCGGCTCGTCTTCCTCATCCTGCTGCTCGCGGTGATTGCGCTTCCGCACCGCACTAATGACGAACGCGGAAACTACGGGGAAGAGACGGCTTCACTCCCCATAGCAACCAGCAGCTCGCGCGGCCAAATGTCCATTATCCGCTGCGGCCGTGACGTTAGAACCGCGAGTAACCTCCCACACCATTGCAATCGCGCATGCGACCGCTCCACATCGCCGAGATTCGCCTCTTCTGCTGCAGCCTCCTTGCCTACCACCGCGGCCCATGCAATCACGTTGGTGGTGTGCATTCCGGGCTTGGTCAGCCCGCGATATGATTCGAACATGCGTTGCCACCTACCACGCAGTGGGTTGGAGCGGCCAGAACATGATAACCTAGATAACCTACAAATCCGTACGAACGCACTAGTAGATGGTGGTTTGGCACAGCTCACCTGTCCTTGCTTGCCACGAGATTGCGGTAGTGCATGGTGATTAAGAGGCCCGTGTGTAACCTCTCGGCAATGGACAGGTCCGCGGCCCAGTCTCGGAGCTGCTTCTGGCTCAGGTTCAGCCCGGGGTCCACCTTCCCGTCGCAGGGCAGCATCACGATCGCGGTCTTGTACTGCAGGTCTTGGCGGTCGCCGTGTCCGAGCCAACGCTTCTTCCCCCCCAGATGCGGTTCGGAAACCAAGCCGGGCCCGCCCCTGGGTGGAGCGCGGATACCGCAGCCCCTGCGCTTGGGGCCGGTGTCACCATGTCCTCCCGTTGTGCCACCTGGCACGACCACGGGATCTCCGTCTTGCTCGTCCGCGCTCTCCCGGCCGCTATGAACCTCGACCGCGGCCTCCCCACCCTGCTCTCCTCCGTCGCCCGCCTCCACGACCCACCTGCTCACGAGACCCTCCAGCTCGTCGTCCGCATTGTCCTCGTCGATCGTGTACACGGGTGTAGGGGGCAACTTCTTGCCACCCCTGCCGCGTTTCTCCGTCTTGACCTCGACCGCAGCAACACTTGGACCTGCAGATGCGATCGCGCTGCGCCCTTGATGTCCTGCGGCAGCATGAGCGGGTGCGAGCGCGGTCTGCTTGCCTTCCGCCGCTGCAGATGTCGCGGGCTGGACCTCACGCCTCGCAGCCAGCGAACCCGCAGTAGCGGGCCCCTCCCCATCCTCCGACTTACCCTTGCCCTTACCCACGGTAGCCGTCATTGTCGCGGTTGCCCCGGCAGGGCCCGATAGTTTGAGTGCAGCTTCTCCAGGTGGGATGGAGCGCGAGCTCGAGCCCGGTTGAGTAGGCTGTGCTGCTCCCCGCGATGCAGCCCCCCACTTCTGCTTCAGCAAGTCCTGCACGCTCGGGTTGCGCACCGCGGCCGCTGCCAGAGGACCTCTCTGCCTCTTTGGCCCTCGCTGATTCTCAGCCTTCGCACTCGCCGCCCGCTTTCCATGCTCTGCATCCCCGGGCTCGGCATTCTTAGTCGCAGCTGGTTCTTCAATATCCGTGCGCGGCGGCGGGCTTCCTCCAACGAGCGAGATGAGCGTGTGAAGCGCGTTCATGACCCTGCTGGTTGTGATTGCCCGCTCTGCTGTCGCGGAGACCGCGGTCGACATGTTATCAATCTTCCGCGCAACCTCGTCCGTCAGCTTCTTCTGAGCGGTTTCCATGGAGTGTGCCACCACCCCCTGCAGCTGTCCCAACCTCGCGTCCACTCGCCCCAGCACCAACGCCTCATGGTTACGCGTGTCGATCAGAGCAGCCCTTTCCTGCGCGATCGCCCTCGCCTCCTTCTCCAAGGCCCGACACCACTAACCCCCGACTCCGGGCGTTTCTTCAGCCGTGCGATTTCTTCCTCCTGCGCTGCAAGCTTGCAGTCGAGTTGCATGATCTCGGCTGCAAGCTTATGCGCTGGCAACGCGGACAGGGAATTGAAATCACGCGCCCCACGCACGGGACTCTTGCCCCCGACCTCACCGCTCGGGCCCGCGCTTCCAGCACCGGGGGCCAAGTGCTGCGCAAGATGCCTGATGCTCTTGCCGGATGTCGTGGGCCTGCTTGCTGCCGCGGCCGCGACCACGTGAGCCTCCGCCTCCTCCTCGCTCGACTCCTACCCCTCACGCTCGACATTGCGGTCAGCCTCATCGAGGGGTGCACCCTTAGTCGCGGTGTCCTCTGCCCCTTCGTCATCAGCGTGGACCACCGACCCCCCCCCCGAGTGCCTCCGCGGTTCGAGACACCAGCGGCAACTGTGAGAGCGAGAACACCATGATCAGCAACCTGCACACCCGTTGCCACCTTTTGCACCTTCCCCGGTTCAACCCCGTCAGCCTCACCGCCGTGCTTGGGTCGCGGCATATCCACGGTCAAGTTGAACGCGAGCTCTTCGGCAGTTCGGTACGCCTCATGCCGCAGTGCATTCAGAGTCTTCACGTTGGGCCTTGGGTATTGCGGTCTGAATCCACTGGCAGCCACCGCGTCCAGCTGGGTAACGATCTTGTCGAACGCGAACAGACAAGCGAGGTTGCCGCATGAGCCCTTCAATGACGCTGCGTCCTGGAAAACAGCACATGTTATTTGTTAGCACCGTTGCTCGTTTTCGCGGTCATCACGAACGCGTACACCACAACGGCATACCAGATCGAACAGACGAGTGGGACCTTTAAGCTGGCGGGACTGGGTGCAATGAATGGAGCCGCGCGCAAAATTCTCGTCAACGCGACCCTGAAACCACCTGCCAATCGTAGAGACAGTCACGAGAACGTATAGTTATCCTGACTCGTGCAGCGGAACTGGAAATGACAAGCAGCATACACATGAACGCGAAACTCACTCTACAAGCGCCTCCGACGCGGTGATGTGTTCCGCACCACCAGAGGGGATAGCAACGCGAACGAACCGCGTGTTCCATGTCTCGTCACCGTCAACCGACAGGTGGTCCGGGCGAAGGAGAAGGAGCATGCTCGCGTTCGATGTCTTCTTGTCTACCAAGTGCCTGCACGGGGCATCCTTGACCGCGTTAATCCTTGAAGCGCGGGCAGCACGATGTTCAAACGTGCAGTGAATACTCACTCGGACCAGATGCAGAAAGCAACCATACTGCACTCCATCAGACCGGCAAAGGTGTCGACCGCGTCATCGCGACCCGCGACTATATCCGCGACCACGTTGCTCGTCACGATCCGGACGCGCGCCTCCGCCTCCTGAGCCAGAAACCTCCGGACAATCACGCTGTTGGGTACGGGGTGATTGTTAGCAAGCTCAATGCTCCGCGGGCACCTTAGTATGCGTGCGCACGAGAATCGCGACTTGGTTTGACGATGTCTCACCCAACGACAAAGTCGAACAATCGCGCCGTTAACGATTGCTTCTCCTCGCCAAGCTGTTTCCACTCTTTGGGGGCAAGCTCCACGTTAGCTCCCGCAACGGAGATGACAGCCGGACAGGATGTGGCCTCCTTGTTACCAGATCTCAGCGCCTCTAATTCGCGAGCCATGACAGGTAGCACTATTCGAGCGCGAACAGAGGAGGGGGATCTACGAGGAACCGCGGCAACAAGTTCTCGCGACAGCAACGACTACGGAACGAGAGTGATCGCGAACGCGGACTGGAGGGAATGGAGCTTCCACTAGCTGTTGCACTATGCTGGGTGGATGGGGAGAGAGGGACGGTTAAAGAAGAAAAACTGAAGATGGAGGAAGAAAATGAGCACCACCCACCCTCACCGTGAGCATAAGAGGAGGACGAGGAGCCATCAAAATGGGGTACTCGCGGTCCACCTGAGCGTGCATGCGAGCCCGCACCGCTTCGGACGTGTCAAGGGGGGAGGTTCCGCCGCATGCACGCATGTGTAACCACGTTTGCCAAGTGGCTGTCAGTCCGCGAGAGCCATTCGGGGGTGGTTACCACCACTCGCGGAGAGGACTATGCCTCGTCGCGCCTGCCATAATACGATGTAACGATTCAAAACACCTGACCCTGGTGACCCGAACAGAACTACACTCTATTATATGAGTGTATTACAGTATATTATATACAAGAAGACATGAACTGGCCACTGTACAAATTTTTATTTTTATTATTTTTGTGTACCGAGGAAAAACGATCGCGCGAGGGAACATTGTTTCGGCGCACGCTGTATGCGAGTGGGGGGTTTTTTCTCGTGAAGCTCTTGCGAGGATTCCGACGCTCGAGAACGAGAGCGATTGGCCGGTTCCGTTTTGGTTGGCTTGGGGTTTGCTTCGCACACGCTCCGGTCGCTCTGAAACCGGCTCCCATTGGCCGATTCCGTCACGGCCAGCTCGAAATTCCCTTTGCACGCGCGGATTCGCATGCAGAATGTACCGCGAGGGTTCTTTGATGCTCAAATCACACGGGAACGGCTCCGATTGGCGGGATCCGTTTTGGCGCCCCGAGGGTTCGGCCCTTGACCTCCGATTGGAGAGCGAGGGGTTTCGCGAGCCAGGGCTGGGTTCGGGGGGGCCCGGGGTTGGGACCACACTGCGTGGCGCTGGCGTGGCCCGGGCTCGGCGCGGGACCACCCCGCCAGCTGACTCCGCCGCCCGTATCTCGCTAGGGACCTGTGTCGAAGAGAAAGGCCCCGCCCTCGCTTGGGCGCAGCCGATCTCGCCGTCGACGGGAAGTTTTCGACGGTTTGGTAGAAGAAGTGGGCTTCTGCAGTTTGATGGAAGTTTCGGTCGAGAAGGCTCTGCTCGACAGAATCTGGTCAACGAGCTCTGCGTGACGAGCTCTGGTCAACGATCTCTGCGCGATGAGCTCTCGTCGAAGAGCGCTGGTCGACGACCCTGGTCGAGGAACTCTGGTCGAAGCGTTCGGGTCGAGGAGCTCTGCTCGGCGAACGTTGTTCGGCCGATCGATGCCGAACTCATCGATCGAAGTTGCAGAGTTCTGCGAAACTCTCCGGAGGCGTGCGAACTTTCGCCCAGGAGATTTTGACGAAGTTCTACCTGCGGAACGGCATCACGTAGTCAACGGTGCGCACCTGGCAAAACCGACGACACGTTTTCTACCTGGCAACTGCGCAATGTGCCTGACGGTGAAACCGCCAACCTGCACCTACTTGGCAGGTGCGCACATCTGCGCAGATAGACAACCTGCGACTGCAGTGCTGGCAGAACGTGCGCGGTGCAACGCTGGCAGATTACTCTGCTGCAGCGTTGGCAAGCCGCTCTTCTGCTGCGCTGGCAGATGTCCCCCTTGCTAGGTGTTGCATGCCATTCTAGTTCCTTTTGTTCTGCATGCCTCAATTGTACCATCAACTTTTCATTGCAAGTTGTTCTTTCAACTTCCTTGGTGGAAACTCTTGCAAAACTTCTCCGTGAACACAGCAAGCAGTAAGAACGTTAGTACAACGCTACGATCACTCGCACAACTCCGTGCCCTCCACCGTAGTCCACTCCCGTTGTGTAGTGACTCTCCGCATGGTGCGGTGAGCGTGGATCGAACACGCGACCTTCAGATAAGCCGACTTCTGCGTTCATTACCTAAGTTGTTGTTAGGCCGGCAGCCGTCTTAGTCGCCATGGTCAACCGCGTGGTCGAAGCAGGTGTAGAAGATACCCTGGAGGCGAGAGAGGCTGGTGTTCGGGCACGCCACGAGGCTGGCGGGTACGGCGAGGCGTGTCAAAATCAACAAGAGCGATTGAACTAGGAAAGAGTTGGGTACAAGTAGGAAACCCTAAACTTACTGTACCCCATAGTAACTACCCCACTACAGCCTAAACAAACTGTAGCAGCTATGACATTTGACACACCCCCATAGGCAAAGTGGGGGAGAACAAGGGGTCACAAGACCAGTCAAGAAAGGCAAAGCAAGCTCAGGGTGGATCGCAACGTCACCACACTCACTGACCACAAGCAAAGGGCCACAAGGCCAGTTCACATGCAAAGGCATATATGTAACACAAACATCACAGTGATCTCCACCTAGCAAAGCAAGCATGCAGGTATATATATATATATATATAGATCACAGTACAAGTAAAGCCTAGTACAAGTAAAGCCTACAGCAAGTGAGGAAAAGTGGGCACAAGCCCCAGCACAGTGCAGAAACGCTGATGATCACCAGACTGAAGTGCCTTGGTGAATATATCAGCAGTGTTGGCCCGAGTGGCCACGTAACGCAAACGAAGCTGGCCACGCTGCTGCAACTCTCGAGCCAGGAAGTAACGCAGAGCGATGTGCTTCGTTCTGTGCTCCAGTCCGTGCTCCTCACACAAGGCAATGACAGCCTTGTTGTCGACGTACAGCACTGGAGGAGAACGAGGCCGCTCTCCCAGGTCGGTCAGCAGGTAGGTGAGCCAGCGTAACTCCTGTGCAGCCATGGCTGTGGCGTAGATCTCAGCCTCACAACTGGAGCTGAGAACTGAAGACGAGCGTGAAGAACGCCAAGAGACAGAGCCAGAGCCAAGACTGAAGGTGTAACCCTGTGACGACCGCTGAGTGTTATAGTCTATAGTCCACTTAGGGGTCGCGGATGCCCATGAAACTGCCTAAGTAGAAACTAACGACTTCATACCGCCTCTGTTCAAAACGCCGTCACGATCAGCTCCGATAACACACGAGGCTGAAACCTAGACAGCAGTTAGATTTAGGTGTCTGCTTTCCAACGGTGTATTGCTTGCGTTCATCAAAGGTGTATGCGCTACACAGTGAACGAAAACGTAAGCTCGGCTGGAAAACGTGTATTCTCATTGATGCAAGGAAGAGGTGAGTACAACATTGCCTAGGGGACTCTTAAGGGGTTGGGATCATCTTGGGAACTCAGAGAAGGTTGAGTCCTAGGGGAGAAAGACCAGAGAAGGATGGGAAACGTCCTAGCTAGGTCAGCAAAGCCAACCACACATGGATGTTCAGAGCTGTACTCAAGGCAACCAATTGTGAGTCAAGCCAACCATGAGTCAGCTTGTCTTCCCACTTGCACCCTCTTGCAAGCTGTTTCCAGGAAGACCATACTTCTCAAATGGAGGGTGGTAGAGTCCCACTTGACCACCTGTACTTCTTGTCTCATTCTCTGTCCCTGCACCATTGGCATGACAACAATGAAAGGGTGGCAAGGGAAATGCTGCCAACAGTGCACCATGACTACGGAACAGTGAATTTCGGCAGCTGTCACGCCTCAGATGTTGGATCGTTCTGAAACTTGGTGACCACCTGCACAGCGGGGCAAAGGACTGCCAGACCGAATTTCAGACAGCTCGGTAGACGAGTCAGCAGCCGAAATGGTGAACTCGGGTGTTACCAAAAAGGAGTAACACACACTTCTGGGATGCCATAAGTCTTGAAACATAAAATGTTGTCATGCCTTGGTAACTGCTTCAAAAACTCTGAAACTTTGAGGGTTTGAAGAACACATGTTGAACAACCGCCCCACAAAATTCCAGAAGCTGAGCAGGCTTGTAGACCGAATGGGAGTGCGATGACCGTGCCACTATAATGTGTTGGCACAACAAACTCCCCCTCATCGTGCTCTCATTCATCCCTTAGCTGCTCCCTGAAGCTGCCTCCCTTAGTTGAAGGAAATGCCACACAAGGTGGCACAGGTCCAATGCTGATTCTCTGCAAGCCGCTTGGTCAAGAAATCTGCAGGTTGCTTGGTAGTGTTGATGTAGTGCAAGGAGACCGTGCTCTTCTTCACCTCCTTCCTCACCCAATGCCATTTGATATGCATGTGCTTGTTCAGCCCATGGAGCACAGCATTGCGAGCCATTGCAATTGCTCCTTGGCTGTCACAAAACACAGGTGTAGGACCCTCTTGCTCCTGCCCCAACTCCTCAAGCAACCTCCTCATCCAAACCACCTCCTTCACCCCATGAAACAACGCCATGTACTCGCTCTCCGTTGATGAGTGAGCTATCTCCCCTTGCTTCTTAGACTTCCAGCTCACTGGACTCCCTCCAACACAGCATACATAGCCACCATGGGATGTTGCATCACTAATGT